ATTTAAAAACTATAGCTTGTGTTCTAATTGTACTCAGACCGACCAATATCATATGTGACAATTTATACATTCAATGCACATCTGTACTTCATTAACTAGCATTTCATAGTAAATAGTAACACCGAACTTGTAATTTGACACAGAGCGCTGAAGTTAGTGTCTAGTTTCTAGTTTCTAGTTTCATTTTTCAAAAATGAACCTGGCAACCAGAAACTAGTGTCGTTTTTCAAAAACGAACCTGGCAACCAGAAACTAGTTTCGTTTTTCAAAAACGATGCTGAGAAGCCAGAATAATTTTTGCGGAGAGAAACAGGGGTGAGCAGAGGGAGAGGCAGCCAGCGGTGTGCGTGTACCGCGACTAGGTAACTGTCACTGTGAAAGCCGGACAGGGTGTTATGGTCTCTCCTCGCCTTGCGCTGAGACCGAGAAGGTCGCAGATCATTGCCTACTGCGCACACAAGCAGCTTTCTCCGCCGATGCCGGGCAGGGTATTCAGGGAGTTTTGGTTTTTTTCTCGCTCACGCTTCCATACACCAATGCCTATAAGAGCTAATTTTTCCGCCAGATATCGTAATTAAAATAGTCTTTATAGCAGAGACCTGAGTGAACAGTAGGGTTATTGCGTCCTCTTTACAGCACAATAGGCCTTTGCCAGGTATGTTGTCTATAACAGGTAGCTCATTAAAAATGTTTCTTATTTCTAAGTTTAATTACTTGAACAGTACACAAGCTTTTGCTTTGAAATTTTGCACAGATTTTTGATACGTTAACGTTGGTCGACTCTGAAAATTTTAAGTCTTAAAGTGAAGCAGTTGACACATGACAAGTGTCAAAACTGCCAGACACTGACACCTGTCAGAAGTCACTTAGGCTGGCATGGCATTTTTTGACCTAACATGTTAATTTTTTCAGTTTTCCAAAACTAAAAAAGGTAGAGTCATGCAATCTTCAGCATTTATTTAAAACATAATTTTCCTAATAAGTTTTAAATTTAATTGCTTCAAAACTGCTGAAGTTATTAAACTTTGAAATAAGTAAAATTTTTTGAGCCACCTGATATACAAGATACTGTATATTTAAAACCAATGATTGCACTTACCTGAATGTAAATGTGAGATTGCTTTGCTACTTTTTTGTAGTTAGTGTTTCAATCAAGTTAAAGTTAGTTTAAATGAAGTTTGTGTATTTCCATGTAACCACTTCTTAAATTTGCCACTGAACAGAAAACTTCTTAAGCTACTTGAAGTCCCTTGCTCACCTTTTTACAGGTGTGATGTTTATAACACCAGGATTAGTATACCAAACCAATGGTATTTCACAAAAATTGTATTCATGTATTATTTGACACTTTGAGGCCTCATTTAACTGCCAATTAACCATACCAGTTATCTTAATGGTCAACTTTGAGTGTCATGTCATAAACTTAATTCAGTAGCACTGACTTCAAATGTAAAGTTAATTATATGTATCACCACTGTCCTTCATCTTAAAGAGGGGGTGCCAGCTCTGTTAATTGGTGCTTGCAATGTCACTATCAGTCAACTCCTAACAGGTAGTGTAATTTGTTTCTAATTGTCACCTGTATATGTCAGTGTCATTGTGCTGTTGTGCACCTGACATTTTCATACTTGACATTGTATATTTATAAGACTTGGTTAAAGTTCTCATTAGACATTTAAGTAGTCCATGCAGGTATGCAAGCTTCGTAGACCTAACAGGTAAGTTTTACTGCAGAAGCTGTGAGGTTATGTCTTCGTGAATATGCTGCTTTATTTGTCATATAAATCTATTCAAATAACTTGCTAATGAACATTTTTGCTCATTCATTTGTCACATTTGAGCCCATTTTTTGCCATTACACTTCTAGAGTCAAATTTATAAATAATATATGAACAAGATTTTGCATCCTAACCATATGATTTTGTCCTGACTTGAATTGCTTTGTGTGTGTATATAGAGGCTGCCTTCAGCTAGTGTATATAGTTAGGGATTAATATGAAAACCATACAGTTTTGAAAGAGGGACAATAATATCAAAGATATTTTGAGAAAAATATTTTAAATCCCTGCACAGTTTAATTAAGCAACTGGTAAACTACTGTAATCCCAGAGCAAAACTACATAGATTTTGCCAAAGTATGACGTAAAAGAGAATTGCTCATAAAACCCATCATAACCTGGGAATATATTTGCCCAAATAATTTATGGAAGTCGACCACAGTATCTCTACTAGGATATTAATCATTTTATGACAGTTGAGGTTTTGTCTTTATCAGTTTATAAAACACCAACTGTCTACCTGATGTAACACAGGATGGAAGTGTTCCGTTTTGCATTTGAATCCGACTCATGTGTAAATACACTTTTTTGAATAGACAGAGGTTTAGCAAGAACAAGGTAGGACTGTGTTGTTGTCTTTTTTCCTTTAACTAGTACAATGTAATGTGGAGTATCTTTAGAAATGACATGGATGTTTGTAAGTTTTAAGACTCATCATTAATAGTCATGTAAGACTGAGTAGGTTCTTGCCAATTTTTTCATGGTTGCAAGATACATTTTATATTGATCCTATATAGAAATAATTTACAATAAAAATGTAAAACCATTTTGTATGTGGCAAGATTGGATAAAAATGGATAGGACAATAGACAGCATCGAGACACTAATTTTTATGTCCTCCCAATGTAAATCCATGCTGTAGACAGTGGGACATTATATTATGTAAGAGAAATGAGTAATGACTTTGCCCAACCCTTATGGTGCAGTTGGATTTATTGCTGCTTTTAAGTGACAGGTGCTCTATCATTTCTTGTCTCCATTGTCTTCTTTACTTACAAAATAGTACTAGGGTACTGGAAAGGGATTTTAAAAGGGGCTGTAAAAGGTGAAAAGTTTCAAAGGAGTGGTTTTTGTCTCCCATATACTTACAAAATAATGCAAGGGCACTGTAAATGGACTTCAAAGGGAGCTTTTTAAAAAGGTGAAATATTTCAAAGGAGTGACTTTTGACTTGGAAATGTACTGAGTGTTTTATTGATTTTTCTTATTATTACGGTGAAGTTTTATTATACTTCTTCATAAAAGAGGAGAGTGAGTGTATGGAAAAATAATGTTAAGAATTTCATGTGATCGATATCAGGTAAGAATAACACACTTCCAAGTTGAAAAGTGTTAGTAACATACAGATATTTATTGCATATATTTTAATCAAGGTATTTTTGGGATGTAACAATACTGTAAAGACAAAAATTAGTTTGATCAGAATTAGTAGAAATCTATTTCTTTTTAAGAAGTGTGACTAAATGTTTCCTTAGGCTAAGTTTTAAATCATGTCTGCTCTGTAGACCTCAGTTTGTCCATTTATCTCTCAGCATTTTCTGTCTGTCGTAATAGAAAGCCATGTGAGATACCAGAAAGGAGTATGGTTACCTGTATACCTCCTTGATAGCCCTAGAGGATTTAGTGATTTAGTTGGCACCATTATGATAAAATAGGGTAGCAAACAGTGGCTTTGTAGCACTTCTACACCAGACAGTAAGACAATATTTACCAGAGCATGGCAATAACCCTGTTAATTTTCATAAAAACAGTTGATACAGGGACATCATCTTAAATATAGTGTACAGTTATCAAAAATATGTGTCATAACCATTTGCAGTGTATTACAAAGGGGATTTCGGTCATCTAAGGACAGAAAACGCCAACACGTTTTTTGCACCTATTGCGGATCAGGTACCAGGTGAGTGAATCAGCAACAAGCACACAATAAAAAGGTTGGGGTTATGATTACATAACCTTAAAATGTATTCTGCCCTATTGATTACATTCTAATAAGTGGGATGGGAATATTTTGTAATGACCATAAACAGTGGAAGGTGAGTCAATAGTTTGTAGGTGGAAATATATTGTTTTTAATACCTTATGAGGGTAAACTAGTACGTAGTAGTGGTATTATAGGTGTAACAGTAAAGAAAGAAGTTGTTCACTAGACACACCAAGATCTTACAGGGAAAATTATAGTTGTGATTATACTAGTGATCATAGAACATTATTGGTCTTATTTTCAACTAAAATGACCAGATCCTTCAATTATCTAGGTAAGTTTTATTAAAATTTAACTTTTGCTGTTCTTCTGCTTGAAGTTGAAATCTTGACTAAAAACACTATTTTGCTAAAGACCTTCAAAAACTCCCACCTGTTGTTTAAATTTACAATACTAATTTGTCAAGTTGATTTTAGAGGTTTGGCTTATATATAATGAGGGCTAGTTGGGAAGATGATCTGTACAATATCTGTAAAATTACGTGTCAGATCCTATATTTGGGGGCCATGCATGTGTGTGTGTTTGTGTGTGTGTGGGGGGGGAGGGGGGGGGTCTTGCCATACCTGTTCAAAAAAAAAATTCCCGTAAGTTTGATTACTCAGATTAAGTCCTGGAGTCGCCTAAGCTCCAGGTATTCACACCATGCGCCTGTTGCTCACACATTACACCAATGTGTAATCTCCTTTAATACCTTGAGCTCTTAACGAGATAAGGTCACTTGGTTCGGCACTGTCTACTGGTCAAGTGGTCATTCTGTGGAGACCAGTATACAAGTAGATGGCCTGGTATTTGGTTGAGTTATCTGAATGTACAACAGTCTGTAGTATTTCAACTGACTTAGAGCATGAGGTTTGAATGAAGAACCATTTTCAAGATAATTACCAGTACATTATAGAGAAAATGGACTTTGGCAGTGCAGTGAGACAGTAAGTGATCAAGTTGGGATACAGTAAGACTAACTTTAGCCTCGATTATTATGGGTCAGATAGTAAGTCTCTTGATGATTTCATCAGGAGACATGTTCTCTGAAGCTGATTGCAATATATACTGGCCTGGAGCAACAAGCGGTTTATGATATAGAAGTTCAGTTATCGTTTATAGAAGATCAAATTATATCAGACTGTTTTGCCCATAGAATAGGTCATTAAACTTAAAACAGTAAACTTAAGTGTTTGAGACAGCGTGTTATTTGCGTTCTCTTGCTCTCTATTTGTGAGCACACACAGACACACACACACACACACATCATGCATTTACATTGTATAGATAGGGCAGCACTGTAGAGATAGTATAAAATTATCTAACTGAGGGTAAACACCACAGCAAGAAATTTATCTAGGTCTGTGTACAGCAACCAATTTTTATTGCGTCTTATATATATCATGACTGCAGTTTTGTGAAAAATAAGACAAAAAATGGCATAATAGATTCAATAATTTAAAAGTTATTACAAACAGTTTATTATAATTTTGCTAATACAAAGTTTAACTGGAGTGTTTTCTATAATTTTTTGAGCTAATTCAAATATGTGTTAAATTTTAATAGTGGTTTACTTTGTCTTTTAACATCAAAGAATACCATGCAACAAGTGATAAAGTGGAAGGTAATCAATGGAAGGCTGGGAGGCATCAGTTTCAAACATAAACACTGCAAAAAAAAACAACAGTATGACCTTGGTAAACTTCAACATTCCAAGGATGTACGAGAATATACCTTGCACATTCCATCAGAATAACATGGTTTAGATGTTATTTGCTGTAAACCTTATAAAAAGGAAAGAGGCAAAGCCAAATAACATTCTGATCTACCCTTTCAGTTAAGATGCTGAGAAGAAGGTGATATGTGTCCAGTATAAACAACTTTTGTGCACATATTTTGTTAGTGTACAGTTACAGTAGGTGTGTAGTGAAGGGCATATTTGAGGTAGAAATAGTATCCTACGTGTGCCATTATTAGCCCCATGCCCTGCAGCATGAAATGGCCAAGGAAAATTCTACAAGTAACTTAAACTGATTGTTTTTCTCTTTGGAATTTACACTACACTAACATTACTGGTATTCTATACCAAGCAGGTGAATTAGGTAGGTAGCAATATTGGTGAAGGAGGATATATATATGGACTTACACTACATTCCATTACATGTTGCTGGGATGTAAATTAATGTATCTTTGTGCCCAGTCTGTGTGGTCTATAAAGAATTGTTTTATGTTTGCTGTATTTTACTCCACAGCCCTCAAAAGTTGCAATCAGGTGTACATGTATTAGGCAGCTGCATTATCATGCAAGCAATGTCCCTGTTTTCTTATTTGACCTCTTTTGTCTATGAGAAAACATCCTACCGTATGCTATGTCACTGTTTTCATTCATATAATATTACATTTAAAGTGTGAAATAATATGGTCAAAAAAAAAATTAATTTTGAATATTTAATTTGCTTTTCTTGTGTGCAGGCTTTCAACAAGTTTCAGGGCACAGAAGTTCATACCTTTTCTACTACCATGGCCCATAGGAGCCTANATTCTACAGTTACCACTTGTGTGCCAAAATTAAGGTTCATTAGATCAAAAGTTTGAGGAGTTACAGTGTACATGTAGCTTTTAATTAATACACTAGGCCTAATTTACTCAGGAATGTTGCTTCTCTAGAGACGCACCTGGAAATAGTTATGTGGATTAAGCAGATTAAGCCAGAAATTTGCCACAAGTTTACAGGAGGGCCACCCTGAATATGGTAGCTCAGCATTGCAAAACTATACCACTCCAGTGCATTAAGTTCTGTTAAAATACAGGGTGCAGAAGAGCTGAACTTAAGTTCATTAACTTGGGAGTTAAAGGTGCCCAGGTTAGCTCTATTGTTTTCCTATAGCTAGCAGTATTGATAAGGGTTAAAACATGATTGATAAGAATGTATGGGAAAAGTGGTTTGCGTGGGCCCCTTAGGCAAGATTCTTCAAGTGTTTTAGGAAAAAAGTTTGGCATACATCTCAGTTCTTGGAAGTGCTGCAGGAGAAGAAGTCTGAGTTTCTAAATAAAAGTTTAAATTCAAATAATCCCATCATAAATCTTATCGATTTATTTCTTATTTGTTTCTTTCCAGGAGAGCGCACCAGGATGTCATCGTCATCACTGACTAGAGTGTCATCAAACTCGTCTCTGCCAGGAAACGTCACTGGATCTAATATACCCAGGGTCTCTTCTAGTTCTTCGCTTCCTAGAAATCCATCGAGCTCTTCCTTAAAGTAAGTACTTAAGCTTTTATTCAAGTATATGTGGGATCCAGCTCTAAAAATTGAGTTAATTTATAAATTTTGTATCTAGTTATCATTTACCATAACGAAATTGCCCAATCTCTATTTTACAACAACATACTTTTTCTCTTTGTTGAATGATTGAAATAATTATGGTGTAGCGTATTATTGACTCTCTCTCTCTCTAAAACTTATTTGCCAAATATCTGTGATGGTCACTTAAGCTTTTAGAGGATTAGAAGATTTTTTAATTTATTTCAGCTTCTTCATTGAAAAAATATTAAAACAAAACAGCATGAAAAAAAGCATATTTCAGTTGAAAATGTTTGATTGAGAAACCTATGAAGTCTTCATAAGTCTCACATCTAAGGGAGTTAATATGTCATAGTAGACATCAAAGTAATACACAGGTTGAATAAGAATACATAGTATTGCATGGTAGAATGTGTTTTAAAAGATATCAAATGTTACAGCACAGTGCTTCTTTATATTACATGTAAGTGAATTGGATACCTTGGGTGAGCCCATGACAAGAAAATTGGAACTTTTCTAGGCTTCAAGTAAGATGAAATTTAACATGAAAGCCCAGTTGTGAAGAGATGGGACATCAGGTTTTTATCAAAATATGTAATGTAGGAAAGTAAGAAAATCTAATAACGGAATATAGGGTTTTTCTTAACAGAAAGCAGTACTTAGTTTTAAGCTTTTTTTTAAAGAATGGAAATATGCATGGCTGTCACAAGAGAAGTAAGCCAGACGTTTTTTATGTGCTCTTTGGGTAGCTCTATCAATACATTTTCAATGTGGTATTGGATTCTCTCCCAACATCAGTTAAATGTGGTACATCTAACACAATTTCATAACTTGGCACATCTAGCACAATTTCATCAAGACGTCTCCACCATCACATAGCTCAAGTAACTGCTCTTTGCTGATGTATTGATCTTATGAATACTATTGAGCTCATACTGTTCTCTAAATGGGATATGACTCCTGTAATAATATTTTTAGATGTTTTTATGGCAGTTCTTGCTTAATCTGAAAGTCTGGAGAATGTAAACTTAATTTTGAAGAGGAGCCTTAATGTCAGTTTTGATAGTTATCTAATTCAGCTGACAAATGGGGTCATTTTTCATTTTTGTCATGTCAAATTTCATTTGAAAATATGTGCTGCTCTGTGTTAAGAAAAGAAATGTTAAGAAATGAAATACTTTTTTTTCTATTCATAAAAATACACACAGCAAACACTGTATAGGAATACCATAAAGGAACCATTATAGTGTCTGTTACAAAAAAAGTATATGTATGTTGACAGTTGATATTCTTAAAGATTATTGCATCAAAGATATCTCAATTTGGAATCAGTTAATTTAAATGTTTTAAAGTAAGTCTGCATGAAATAACTTGCAATTTGATAATGGAATAACCTAGCAATTGACCTCGTCAGGCAGAGTCTTTGCTAGTACTTGCTATTCACATCAGTTAGCATCACTATGCATTATATACACTTGGAGTTATAGCCAAATGGGAGCCATTTTTCATGAAAAATGGATTTTATTTTACCATTCTGGAACCAACCTGGGGTCCAGATTTAGAGTATAAATGGCAAAAATTAGGGTAAACAAAACATGCCTGTGAGTGTAATGGTTAAAACTAAAATGGCAGGGTGAACCACGTTGGCCACATTGAATTCCGACATGATCTCTCTCACACAAAGGATTATTTGTACAACTTAATGTAACACAGCACAAGAGGGTGGAACATGTTCATAACTTTCAAGAGAAACTCAAAACAATTTTTTCGTCCTAGGTATAAGATGTCTTGTAGATTTAGTAGTTGGAGGAAGGGAGACCATCAGGAAAATAGAAGCATCACTTTTTAAGTGGGTTTGGCCATATTTAGTTGGTAGATAAGTTAGTCCACGGTTCATTTGTTCTAAATGCTCTCTAAGTCAGTACCTCTGTGTGTGAACCCAAATCAGCTTACTAGTACATTTTATTCCCAGGATGTCTGTATCAGACTTTCAGGTCCCAGGTATTGAATTTAATAAAGCTGTTATTGAGCGTATTCAAAGCGGCAGATGAACAGATCCATGGATCAAATATGGCCGACCCACTTGAATGCTTGTTACATAATCTCCGCAGGGAATCTATTTAGTGTCTAATCCAGAATTAAGCAGCAAGCTTTTGAGTGGGTCACCATATTTGATCCACGGATCTGTTAGTCTACTGTTCTGAATGTGTTCATTGTGAATTTGGTTTCGCCCAGAAATCTGGTGGCCTGACCAGGAGCTCATATTTAACAAAGACAATGTCAGTAACCATTGCAGTTACAGTGCCATTCTGCAAATTTACCTGTGTATTTGATGGTGGTATTTAGGAAAATGTTGCCCCGATAAGAAGCTGTAATCCCAAAATAAAGAAAGAAAAGACTCCATGAAACCAGCCCCAGACCAACTCAGTCTAATTTATTACTTGTCTGAACTGAGATTTAGATGACATAAATGAAAGGATGAATGTGTTATGACAAGTGGAGACGTTTCGGCATATACTTGATTGCTTGATGACATGGCATCATACATAGCTGAGTAGTAATGTGTATAGATTTTATTAGATGATACGGAGTTTAAAAACTATTTGGCTTACAGTCTTATGTGTAATGCTTGGCAAAAATAAGAAATATTGAAGGGTAATAAGATTATTATTTCTTATTTAAAGTTAATCTTGAATTAATGTGTACCTGATTCCTCCAGTCCTTAATTTTTCTTTTTTTTTTCACAGTTGAGTTCTCTGTGTTCCTACTTCTATTAGTAATTCTGCAACAGAAAGTACCAATGATACACATGATTTTGGAAGACCCTGTAATTGCTCAGTTATGTTACAAATGTGAAGACTTAACTTTCTCATTATGTACATTCCCAGAATTTTGTGAGCTTTGGGAATTCTATCTACTCAGCCGCTCTAACAAGTTCAGCCTTTTCATCTCATATGGGGGTAGAAAAGCTCATCCATCAGGACTAAAGATGAAAAAATAGATATAGTTGAGAGACAGTTTGTTAAATGACATGGCATTGGGGTATGTGCTGAGTGGTTGTTTTCAGATGATGAAATAGAAATTTTTGGTGCCAGCTTGTGAAATGAAGTATTGAGGAAAATGGTGAGTATCCTATGGAAAAAACATAGAAAAAGTCTGGTACAGTTGTACATGAATGTTGGATACTTGATCCTTTCTGAGCTCTTTCATGTGGAAGAAATAGATAATTTTTGGAGACAGTAGCACAAAAAAGAAGGAGTTTCTTTCCCAGTGGGGAAAAAAGACAGACAGCTGGTAAATATTACATTAACAGAAATGTTGCTAAATGGAGAAAAAGTTGACTTCAAGAGACAGCATACAGAAGATGACATTGAACAGACTGGTAAGGGTTATGTGCATCACCACAAAAACCTTTCTCCAAGGTGCCTATATCCATGAAATTTCTCAAAATAACAATTGACTGACATTAAATAATTGCACACAAAGGTAGTATATGGTCATTATCACTTGGAAGAAGGGTTTTTGAGTAAAAAAAATTGATGATGTGAAGATTTGAAACATGCTCTATATCAAGAAATTTTAAGTGTTTTAGAGTGATCTGCACTCTTACTCTGCTTTTTGGTCTCCTGTGGTGAGGAACATTGTCCCTAAAGGAATATGGATAAATCCCACATAGGTGATTTTACTTTTTTTTTTTTTTTTTGAAATTGAGAAATTGAACATCTCAAAGAGAAATGCTTCTGTTTAGTGTTCAGGTCCATGAAAACCCGAGAAACATTGACCTCTAGCTTTTTGGGTGGGACTTTTTTTTTTTTTTTTTTTTTTTTTTTTTTTTTCAATTATTGATAACCCCTTTTTTTTAAAGGGGGTACCCAGAAATT